GGCTGAGGCGGCTGAGGCGGCTGAGGCGGCTGAGGCGGCTGAGGCGGCTGAGGCGGCTGAGGCGGCTGAGGCGGCTGAGGGACCCGGCCGGTGCTGTCAAAAGATTCTCTCGTTCCTTGTATGCCAATTCTTCCGTACGTTCGGTTTTATTCTTCTCTTAATCACCGAACCAATTACAAAATCACATAATTTGTTGAGTTGGAAGGGATCCACGAGGACCGTCAACTCGTGGCCCTGCACAGGACGTCCCCACTATCCCATGTGCCTGAGAGCACTGTCCTGCGGTATTTTTCTTAAAATCTGCACAGCTGCATAGTAAGGGTACCGGCTCTCCAGGATCTACTGACAAATTTCTCATAAAGCCCTGAAGAAAGGAAAAGACCAGAAAAAACTCAGCTTCAAATATTATAATAGGCAACAACAGAAGTAAGTAAATGCTGAAATTTCTGTAATACTAGTTTGATGCTAACTTACATCATAAATAAATAAGCTATAGTACAGTAATGACATACATAATCTTACAGGCATTAACCTGAAGTTTTAAATAAATAAGGTACACTTGATAAACGTGTCCTGGCTGAAGCAGACAATGGGTGCCAGGACTCCACTCGCTGTTGCCAAATTTCTGTATTAGTCTCTTAATGCAAGACAGATTGTTGTGCAGATACTGGTGTTAGAGATAACAATATAATATTTGCTTTCGCATTTATACATGATTTTTATTTATATATAACCTTTTCTATCACAAGTATTTTGATATAGTACAATTTATACTTAATTTTAACTGCTTTTGTATAGTATAATCTGTCAGTATACACTTATATGAATGGTAATGTAATAAATACATTGTATCGTAGGCATTAGTGAACCGTTAAAGATACGGACTAAAAATATCTCTATATAAATAACTTAAAGAACGGTGCAAAACCACTAATTTTCCTTACATTTGTGAACTAGCGCATAAGCATCCAGAGCATGAAATAATAGGATGGGAAGACGTGAAGACATTACCTATAAAAATTGCCAAATAAGTTTGAATAATAAAACATGAATATGCATGAGCCTGATGAACGGTACACTATAAAGGCAAATTGTTTCAAATCTACAGCGTCGTCTTTGGCTGTTTGCAAGGAGCACCCCAGCGCTGGACTTTCGTATCTTATTTTATTCCCTATTAAACTTCTTTAAAATACTGAAGAGTTATTCTGTTTTTCGCACTGGCATCCATTCTTCATTCACAGTAGCCAGGGCTACACTAGAAAGGAAAGCAAAAAGAAAATTAAAGCAGGTAAACATTTCTGAGGAAATGTTCTTCGCTTTAATGCAGCACCAAAGACAGCTCAAATAGGTGGAGTCTGAGGGCTGAAAAACTTATTTGGCTTACTTTTGCAAAAATCAGTCAGCACACGCCGAGTCTAAGCATCCGTGGGAATTTCTCGTGGTTTTCCTTTGTCTCCTGCCACAGCACCAGGGAATTTGGAATAATAATTCTGCCCGCAAATACATTACCAATCTAGCAAAAAAACTAAATAAACGCCAGCCGACACCCCTCTAAGTTCATAAGAATCTAAAGAATTCTGATACTGAAGATGTGAAATGTGTGTGCCCAAATCTGAAAAGTTTTCAGAGGAAGAAGTTTGCATACTATCACGGCATATCCAGGTGGCGACCGTGAGCCCGCTGGCGACACGGGCTCCGCGGAGCTCCGCTGTAACCGGGGGCTCCCCCGGGGCCATTGTGACCTCACGGCCGATGCGGTCCCTCGCTGCCCCGCTGCGCTATAAAAGCGGGCACTCCGGCCCCGCGCCCGCCTGCGGCGGCATGGCTCGCTACCGCCGGCGCTCCCGCAGGAG